ACAGACGCGTCGAAAAACGCTGGCGATAAGCGCTCGCGATAATCGTCCCGGTGTGCACGAGGCTTTAAGAACCAAATCAGCATATTAGAATTATTTGATGCTGAAGACTGGAGTAACGTCTCAGGTTACTTATGTAACCATGGTTCCCTGAGTAGGGAACGAGACACTGCGTCCTCTAGGTTTCTTGCCATGCTGCGGACGCAAGCTTCAGATGAAGAAGTGAATGATGTGTGCTCCCGGCGCCTATTTATACTATAGTCGCACCGGTAGTGACATCATGGGCTATCGCCGGCCAACAGGTTGTTGGTGTTTTTTGAATGTATGCTTCAGACACGGGTCATGACGAGGCGTTCCCCATAGCGACCCCTAGAGGACGCAGTGTCTCGTTCCCTACTCGGGGAACCATGGTTACATAAGTAACCTGAGACGTTTTTTTGTGATATTGACACTGGTGACAAGAATTTTGAAATTTCAATGGTATCAAAAATGTTGATATCATAAAGACCTTATTTATAGCAAAAATAACTATATAGTGATATATATCATTACCATGAAATAAAATTAAAATTCGCATTGTGTTATAAGATTTTGGTCATATCACCCACCCCCAATACAACATACTACATAAATAGCAGGAGTAGTATTGTAGTATGAGTAGTATGCAACTCTGAAAATAGTCTGCAATTGAGATTTCATTATTTTAATTAAACTGTCATTTTTTGCCGTTACCCTGACATCTGTTTTTAGATGCATTATTTACATCTTCATTGTTCCAACAAAGAAATTGTTTATCAAAGCAAGGATTCATTTTTCAATATTATCAGTCTCCTTTCCTGTTGTCCGAGAAAAGGATATCCCGTGTCTTTGAACATTGAAGCATTACACATTCGCAAAAAAAAAAAAAACGCGACAGACTTTTCTGTGAACTGAATAGAGAGGAATGTCAAGGGCAAATCTGACAAAATTGTGACTTAAAATATTTATTATTTAAAATTTCACAACATGAAATATTCATAAACACTGATTTATTAAACATAAATAAATGAATAAGAGCGAGAAGTCAATGTACGTTTCACTTCAGGTGGCATTTAAAGGAAAAGTTCACCCAGAAATGGAAATGCCATCATTCACTCTTCAGTTTTTCTGACCTCATGTTTTATTTCCTCTTTCAAACACGAGGAATGCAGTGATTCATGCTGTCAAACTTCAAGAAGGACAAACCAGACTCATTTTTTAGTACGATTATGGATCATTTTGCTCCTTTATAAAGTTTGACAGCATCATGTGTTTCACGCAACAGCGAAAATAATATGGCTTGTGAACGATATTAGAGTGTGTGATAAACATGCTACATTTTCATGACTAAACTATACCTTTAAGCAGAAGAAAGGTCAGCGCTGGCATGTTCAGATAGCTTTAGGTGCTCTGGGAACAGTCTATATGTGGAATGAGGGTGTGTCTGTTAGTGGAGCTCAGGCCCGGAGAGGAAACGGACAATGTGCGCTCAGCAGGAACAATAGCAGCCTGTCCAACACAAAGAGCCCGGCTCACAGTAGGAGGCCTGGAGGCCCCTCTGGGACAACAAAGACACCTCCATCGCTCTCCTCCCTCTGCTTCCTTCCCTCCCTTCACTTGTTCACTGGTGGCCCTTCTGTGGCTCTCGCTCCGGATGAAGCGGCCAAACTCAAGAATTACAACTCGCACAAGAACAGGACAGAGAAAACCTTACAGAAATATACACTTACTCGTGGTTTATTTTCGGTATTATTTACTTTGTCTACAAAATTTTTACGCATTTGAATTGATTCAGGAACAAAACACCATTGTGTGCTGCTCAGAGACAAACAGCAGTTCTGCTGTGAATTTGTTTGGAACTATTATCGTTTGCAAAAATAGAGAAATTTTGACAATGCAGTGTCTAAAATGTAAGTGACTCAGTATTAATTGTTTGTTGACACAAAACAGTTTTACAACATAGTTGAGTTGGTCAGGCAATTGCATAACATAAATATCATGTATACTGCTTGACCATATCATATTTAGGGGCATTTTTATTACCGTAACTTAAGGTAAGACACTGCATACAAAACCACTGTTTTTTCATGTTCATGCACTAGTCAGTTTTTTTAGATTTTGGGCTATTTTGCTTTAATAACTTGTCTTCTTTTAGACTAGTGGAAAGATAACATCTAAAAATAGACATTTTTTAATACGCATTATCTATTTGCGTCTGTAGATTTCAATTCTGATGCATATCTTTAAAAGACATTTTCTCAAAATGTGTTTTTTTTTTTCCTTCTCCTGCACAGAGACAGAAATCGCCACTTAAATACACCACAAAAACAAACAAACAAACAAAAAAAATTCTATATTCTGAAGGTTTATATAATATTATATTCCAAAAGAGTTTTTTTTGACAGTATTTTATGATTTATAGAGTAATAAAAATAGACATCCAAAATGAAACAAGAATTTTAAACCTTCCTTTATCCAATGTTTAGATTTCTGTTCTGGAAAATTATGCATGAAATAGTGCATTTAATTAGATAATGCATCATTTCCATATTCAAACATACTGTAACATCTCAGAAATGTTGTAATACAAAACAGTTGCCTTAATGTACTGTGATTAATCAACTGGGGAAGGAATATATTATATATACACATATTAGTTACATTTTTTGGTAACACTTTAGTATATGGACCAATTCTCACTATTAACTTGTTGCTTATTAGCATGCTTATTATTAAAATATTGGCTGTTTATTAGTACATATAAAGCACATATTCTGCATTACCATATTCTACATCCCTAATCCTATCCAATACCTAAACTTAACAACTACATTACTAACTATTAATACGCAGCAAATTAGGAGTTTACAGAGGCAAAAGTCATAGTTAATGATATGTTAATGGCGAGAATTGGACCTTAAAATAAAGTGTGACCC